CTTGGAACTTTGAGACTCTAAAGTATAGCTAAGGCCAGGCATAGTGATGGATACCTTTTGTTTGGTTGGTTTTTTGGTTTTTTTCCAGACAGGGTTTCTCTGTGTAACAGCCGTGGCTGTCCTGAAACTCAATTTGTAGATCAGACTGGCATCAAACTCAGAGAGATCTAGTGGAGGACACCTTTAATCCCAGCATTTGGGAGGCTCAAGGCCAGCCTAGTCTATACAGTGAGTTCCAGGCCAGCCTAGGAGAGATTGTGAGATCCTGTCTCCAAATTAAAAAAACAATCAAACAAAAAACATGCATTAGGTTCAGTGCATGCCTGCACACACACCTTAGATTTTTAGAGCAGGCATGATGTGAATTGTGCTTATGAGTTTTTCTTTTCAGCCTATAGAATATATGCCCTCTCTGAACCCCTCCTCTCTGTCACTCTCCCCATGTTGGTTAACACTTTCCATCTACTCTTTTTCACAGGGTTCTTGTAAGAGTTATTCTAAGCCCGGGTGGTGGTGGCACATGCCTTTAATCCCAGCACTCAAAAGGGAAGGGAGGCAGAGCCAGGCGGATCTCTGTGAGTTCAAGGCCAGCCTGGTCCACAGAGCGAGCTCCAGGACAGGCACCCAAACTACACAGAGAAACCCTGTCTTGGGAAAAAAAAAAAAGGTGGGGGGAGTTATTCTACACATACTACTCACTTCGCCTTCGACTCAGAAATTAAATTTCATTGATTTTATCACAAGGAAATGATTTTTATCACATTGAGAGCCACATACAGAGAATTATATGTATTGGCTAACCTTAGTACAATAATAAAAACAAGAAACAGCCTAAGTAATTGATCATGTGGAAACTTTTAAAAATGAAATCAGCAGCTTGGGAAACGGCTCACTGGGTAAGAATGCTTCCTGAATTCAAACCCCCAGTGTCCATGTGAAAAAGGCAGGCATGGCTGCACCTGCCTGCAACCTAGCAATGTAGGCGGTGCAGGCGGGAGGAGACTGGAGCTTGCTGGCTGCCAGCCTAACGCTGGGTTTGGAGAGAGGCATGGTCTCTAAAGAATGAAGAATGGTGGAGCAGGACTCCCATTGTCTTTCCCGGCCACCGTGCCTATCCGGGGGCACATGCTCCTACATATGTGCCACACACACACATAATCAACTCTAAGTTAGGAATTGTTTCTGCTGTAGATATCAGAAAGCTGGCTAGGGTAGAAGCCACTGTGTTGGCTGAGGTGGTGTGCTGGCTGACACACCCTTGGGGTCTGTGTCCCCCTTTGTCACTCTGTGGTGTCTGTCTTTCATACCTGATTATTCTACAGTCCAGTATGGCGACTGTAATTCTAGCCAGCAGGTATAAGCTCCAGCAGGAAGAAAGACTGTACCGAGAAAATGGGACACAGGTCATTCACCAACTGTCTCTTAGAGTCCAAAGGCTGACTCCAACACGCCTGTTTACACTCTGCCAGCACGGTTACCAAAGCAGAACTCCCACTGTACCAAAGAAGATAGAAACCAGGCAAAGGTTATTCCTAGACCCGGGCTTTGCACTGATTAGAAGGGCACCCTAGGCAAAGGGGAAGCTCATTTGGTCGGAAAGGAGTCACGCTTGTTTTTATGTACATACATTAATGTGCTTGAATTCTTTTGATTCTGTATTTTCTTACATTGAGTTGGAGGGAGGCAGTTGGGATGCCTTGCAGTCCCTGCCTGGTCCATGTGCTTTTTAACTCGAATCAGTTCTTGAGACAGTCTTACTCTGTAGCTCAGGCTATCCTGGAACTCACTGTTGTAGCCTAAGCTGGCCTCAAACTCTAGAATTCCTCCTATTTCAGGTGCTAGAGTTACAGATGTGAGTCACGATGCCAGCCTTTGTTTTTGTTGTCTTTGAGTTTCACTATGTAGTCCTGACTGGCCTGGAACTCGCTGTTGAGCAGGCTAGCCTTAAACTTGCAGGAAATCCTCCTGCCTCTGCTTCCAGGTGTTAAGATTCTAGGCGTGTGCCATCATATCCAGCTTGTAAGATCTTTTTTGTTTGTTTTGTTTTGTTTTTGAGACAGGGTTTCTCTGTGCACCTCTGGCTGTCCTGGAACTCGCTCTGTAGACCAGACTGGCCTCAAACTCAGAGATCTGATCGGCACTGCCTCCTGAGTACAGGATTGAAGGTGTGCGCCACCATGCACACAGGATCTGTCTTAAAAAGATACTGTCTTTCTAAGTTCTTGCCAAGAGGCCAGTATAACTAACTGCCTTTAGCATTGCCAGATAAGTTACATCTCAACCACCTGGTCCTTATTAAATATTCCTTAATGAAGGTGCCTTGTAGGTGGAGAGGCATGGGTTCTTACTGTTTTTTAAATAAATTGTCCTTCAACTTGAATTATACCAAGCACACAAGAAATATCTTTATTCTTATATATGTTTACTTCAGGAAAAGAGATAGAAACAGCTCAGGCCGTATTGGTAGAGGAGGAGAGTGAAGGTTCTCATACACAAGGCTAGTCTAGGGTAAGAATTTGACTTTGCCCTTGGCTTCTGGGAAGTGGGTGCCATAGCTGATAGTACTGGCTTCAGTGCAGACGTTGGGCAATATAGTGTCAGTCACATGGAGGCTGAGATCAACTGTAGCCAGTCAGTGACTTGGAAAACTCTGAACAGGGAAACGTGGCACACTTTCCTGGTTGCCACTGCCACACCCTGAAGCTGGACCAATGCCATGCCTCTGCAGGGAGCACAATGTGACCTCTGCATCTAGAGACTTCCTAGACTCCACCTTAGGCATCTCTTCCTTTGGCTGACTTTATACCTTTTCTCTGTCAATCATGCGTGGAACAAGTGTCAGCAAGTGGTCCATGTATTTCTAGTGGATTGCTCATGGTTTAGGGAAACTTCTGAACTTGCAGCTCAAAAATCAAGGCAGGGCTCAGTGGTAAAGGCACTTGCTGCTCAGCCTGATGACCTGAGACCCAGGGACCCACATGGTGGAAGAAAAGATCTAATTCCTGAAAGTTGTCCACACACACACACACACACACACACACACACACACACACACACACTATGGTGTATATGTGTACACCCCCAATAAGTAAAGAGATTGACCTTTTTAAAAAGTGTAGGGGTTGGGGATTTAGCTCAGTGGTAGAGCACTTGCCTAGCAAGTGCAAGGCCCTGGGTTTGGTCCTCAGCTCTGGGGGGCGGGGGTGGGGTAGGGTAGGGTGTAGGCATTGTAGGGAGCTGTAGCCACTGAACTCTCTGACCTCAAGCCCCCTGTAGAAGCCTCAGTGGAGTCAGCAGCACTGAAGGTAGGCCTTGTGCTAGATGCAATGTGCCAGAGGGAATGTGCTAGAAAAAGAAGTAGAAAAGAGCAGGCAGAACTGTCAAGTTAATAAGAGGCCCAAAGTGAACATTCTGTTTGAAGAGAGGGTTCCAGGAGCAGTAGAGCAAAAGGCGCTCTTTCTGATTTCATTGTCTTCATGCTCCTAGGAAGGCTGTCCATGTTAGAACTCCTTCTCAAGTAGACTGAAGCAAGGTAAAGCCAGAATTTTAGAGAAAACATTTGTATATGCTGGGCTTTCTTTAGGTCAGCGGTTACTAATGACACTCTCCTGAAGTCAAGGAGGAGCAAACAGTTCCTCTCTAGATGCTAGAGAGAAATAATGAATACATTTCAAACCAATAGTGGGAACAGTTTCCAATGAGCTCCCTTTAGCCAGTGCCATTCTAGGCACAAAAGACAACCTCAGGAAAAAACAAAATCTCAACGGATCAGGAATCTCAGGAACTTGACTGAGTGCTGAAGGAGGAAACAGGATCTCAGTGGCCCAGTTCTGATTGCCCAGTCTTCTCAAAGTCACCATCTCGAGCCAGTGGGACGGCACAGTGGGGAAAGACACTGGTCCCCAAGCCTGATGGTCTGGGCTCAATCCCAGAACTCACATAAAGATGGGAGGAGACAGATGACTCTTGAAAATTGTCCTCTGGGGCCGGGTGGTGGTGGCGGCGGCGGCGGCGCACGCTTTTAATCCCAGCATTCAGGAGGCAGAGGCAGGCAAATCTGTGAGTTCGAGGCCAGCCTGGTCTACAGAGCGAGATCAAGGACAGGCACCAAAACTACACAGATAAACCCTGTCTTGAAGAGAGAGAGAGAGAG